ATTTTTTTACAGAACCTTTTATTGGTCCATCAAATCCCGATTATTCTCGATTGCATTACGTCGAATTCGTTGCGCTCGATATTAACGATTAGAATCTCCCGTTGTTTCTGAAATCTTTTTCGCATAATCTTGAAACAATTTCAACATGATATTTTGCCGATAGTTATTTGCGAAACACGAGTCTCTTCAAGTCAAAGATCAGTTCTCCACGCGTGGCAACAAAGGGCTTCATTACCGCGTCGCATCCTCGCCGATCTCGTCATTACGTTCCATTCGGCTGAAAGCCGGCGAAGGCAACGCAATGACGTAGACGTTTCCGCGAGTCCGATAGGCGATAGGTGCGTAAGAAAGAGAAGTCGTTTCTCAATTTCCACGTTAAACCATATATTACTGCAACGCAAATTGATCGATTACAATATTTCGATTAATCCGAATTAATCATCCGTTAATGAAATATAGCACCATAAATAAAAGAAACCATAAATAAAAGTTTGACAATATTGAGCGCATTAATAATGTCACGTAAGTTTTTCTTAGGTGCGTCTTCTCTCTCTCTCTCTTATTATCTTGAAAGCAATATTTACTATAAACTCGCGCAGTTTGGTATATCACCCAAAGTTTCGGCCGACACCTGCGCGTCTGCGAGAGAGATATTGTAAGCAACAAAATCCACCGTAATAGACAGACGGCAGCTGCAACAGACAGGTGGAAGGATCGAATCGCAACTTCAAAATTTATGCAACAAGCCCGCTCGACTTTCGTTCGTTAGATTAACGCACGATTGCCTCACAGATGCATCCATCCCATGGATAAAAAAGCGCGATAATTTAAGCTATATTTTTAAAATCGCCCCTGTCGATTCGTTAAAAAAAAAAAAACATAAATCAAATTTCGTTATAGACTTTATACAGCTCTCAAATAATATAGCGTATATAAAATTAGATCGAATGGCAAATAACTTTGCGAATAAATCGTTTGAATTTCTGTACAAACACAGAAATGCATTAAATTGTAAATCCTATAAAAGTAATGAATCATAAAATAATCTTGCGTAGAAATAAATATATGTATAATCATACGAAATGAACGACGGCTTCTCTGTCGGCGAAATCATATCGAGATATGTTTCACGATTTCTTTCGCCGTCTCTCGATTTGATTGCTTCGTCGAACGAGTCTGAAATGAAGGCGAAGATGCCGCCTTCATTCGTGCGACGAGAGGAACGCAGAAGTTCATTTCTCTTCGGCGAACGAGAGATAGTAATAATCAGCGGTTTACTCTGCGTACCCCCACTCGGCGTGCTAATCTCCAAGTGCGATAGAGCATTAGCAACGCGACAATATTGCGATAATAATACCATCGTCATTGTTGTCAACATTGCGATGTTTGAGGTTTACAGTTGCGCCATTAGTAGACGACGGCGAGATTGCGAGGAGAACGGAGCTTCTTCTCTTGCCCCCGGAACGGTTTCTTATCCTATCGCCGATGATATTTCGATTTGCCACGGTTTATCATTCGTCGATGTGACGGCGATTCGCGGAAGCGAATCTCTCGCCCCCACTTTACCGTGACTTTATCCAAGGCCGGTCGTCACGCACACGGGCAGTTTAGCGACTCCGCTTTCGCGTCGCGTAATCGCAGATTACGCCTCTGCGACGTGCGAGGAGTTAACGATACGACCTGGCCGGATGTAACGGTACTCGAACGTGTTTTCCCGATAAAACGCGTATAACTACTCTGGGAAACTGGTATAGATACTTTTTCACGAGCGCGATCTTTCGATGAAATCGATACGATCTACGCAATATCTTCTCTCGGATGAAACACGACAACATCCAGCAGATATCGTGTTTCACGTTTCAACTAGCTTTTTTTAAAAAAAAATTCTGCCATAATTACATTCCTTCTAATATTAAATTGCTTTTGTGTGTGTAGGTATGTGTGTGTGTGTGTGTGTGTGTATGTGTTGGGACAACACGCGAGTTGCGGATAAGGAAGATCAATGCCTCCCTTCGAGCGGAGAAGCTCGCCGAGCGGAACGGAAGGATTTGCGCGGTGGCGACGTTTGTCAGAGATTAGATCGTTAATTGCAATCGAAATCGCGAGACGCGATCGTTAACCCTCTCCGCGATCCTACATGTTCGGTAACGTGAGCGCGCGCGCGCGATTGTAAAACCGGCTGTGTCATGGCACGTGTCATTCTTCCTCATTCCCTTTGTTCAGCGGGACGTTGTACAGAGAGAGAGAGACACACGTCAGATGGTTTTGCCGTCGTTAACAGCCTGTAATTAGAACGTAGATAACGATTCGCCTCGATAGAGAACGCCCGCAATCACTCGCTCTCACAAGTCGCGGTCGCATTTGCCAACCTACATTTCGTGGTAACCAGCGGTTCTCACCTGCGATACGAGATCGTCGATTATCACCTGCGTACTTTACGGGCTTTGATAATAAAAGCTCGCAGCAAAAAAATGGTTAAATATTTTTATTTCAGACGCGATCGTTAACCCTCTCCGCGATCCTACATGTTCGGTAACGTGAGCGCGCGCGCGCGCGATCGTAAAACCGGCTGTGTCATGGCACGTGTCATTCTTCCTCATTCCCTTTGTTCAGCGGGACGTTGTACAGAGAGAGAGAGACACACGTCAGATGGTTTTGCCGTCGTTAACAGCCTGTAATTAGAACGTAGATAACGATTCGCCTCGATAGAGAACGCCCGCAATCACTCGCTCTCACAAGTCGCGGTCGCATTTGCCAACCTACATTTCGTGGTAACCAGCGGTTCTCACCTGCGATACGAGATCGTCGATTATCACCTGCGTACTTTACGGGCTTTGATAATAAAAGCTCGCAGCAAAAAAATGGTTAAATATTTTTATTTCGTATATCTCACGCTTTAAAATACTAAATTTGAAATATTTTTGTCACATCACGATTTGTTATCGATGATTAATTATATTATAATTAAGTTATTAAATAATAAATTAATTATAAATTAGTATTAAATTATAATTAATTATGATATTATAATATAATAGTAAAATTATATTAAAATTACATTATAAATATTATATTATAATATTAAAATTGTAATTAATTATAATTAAGTTATAATTAATTTCTCCATGTCGCGATGTACGATGGCGTCATCTGGGTAAAAGGACCACCGAGAGGACGAGCCGAGAAATATTGACGCGGCGCGTTCCGACTTCCATCTCATTCCCATCCGTTCTCCGCGGGATATCGCTTGGTGGACAATGGCCACTAATGATGCTTACTTTGACGCCTGTCGGGCGGTCCTTTCGTGCCGTATCTATCTCTTGACTGGTGGCCATCTCTTACCGACGAAGACCCTTCGGACACGTCGCGCCTTTAATGGACGACATCCGAAAGATATTTTCCCGCGTGTCCCTTTCTTAGGCTAACGCGCGCGCTTTCCCATCTTCGGACATAATGAACGACGTTCGATGAACGCTTCCTACGCAAACAATCTGCCTTTCGTCACGCACTCTCCATTTCTGCCATTGCGCATTGATTTCCCTTCCGATCGCGCGTCATCGATCCTTCTTCCTTCCAGCTACGTACGTCTTTACAATATACAGATATAGCGCGCGACAAACAATCGTTGAGATTTTTTCACGCTTCTTCCAAAGCGTATTCCATTGTGAAGTAATCTTTCATCGCACGGGGTGGACGAGAACAGGAAACATGAACGCCCATTACCGGTGCGGGCAAAGCTCCGCTTCCGAAGTGCGCGTCGCACTTTCTCACGGGACACGACAACCCTTTACGTAATAAACGTAAACGCGTGCTTTCACTACTATAACGCTGCTCGAATTTAGGCCCGCGGATAACTAACTACGTGCATTGCACCGACGAGTTCGCTTTCTAGCGTCTGTTTAGATCGTCGGATTACAGCGAGTAATTTTCTCGCTCGCGAGACTCCGCGTGCGATGAAACTTTTCTCGTTCAACGGTATTAACGCAAATGTGTGTGTATTCTCATATTAACGTGACTATCTCGAACTTTACGATTTTTCTTTTCACGGCAACGCGCGCGTTTCCGCGCATAACGGAGCGGAGATCGATCTTCTTTCGCTCTTAGAATCGCGCGGGAAAAAATGGAAAGGTAGGAGGAGAGGACGCGAAAAAGCTGTTTGAGATTCCACTGATGTGATCTAACAGAGAGGGATGCTTAAATACAATAATTCTGCAGGCATGTCTGCTTGCGCGAATCGTACGCATAACTCTTACACAATATCGATGTGACGTTAAGACTGATGACGGTATTATGACATCCGTTCGTATTATTACGCCCGAGAATATCGTTCCGTGAAAAATTCTCGTCTACATCGAGTTACATTGTCGCGATGATTCACAACCCTGCGCATGTTCCGATATTATATACCTAACGTGCGGGCGTATGTAGGGCGTTCTTGGTCTCCGCATAATTGGAAAGTTTTTGCAATCACATCGCGGGATTCAATATCGCAATCAATTGCAATTTCTCTGTATATTACGTGGAAGTATTCAATTCTGCGATTCAATCTCGGATTCCAATTCGCGGTCGCAATTTGTCATCCGATCTACAGCGGAAAAAGTTGAGAATTCTAATACACATTATGCACCGCAATCTTCGTTTTATATATATATATATATATGACTTTTCCGTGACAAGACTCGCACTTGACATGTCGCATTCCCTGTATTCAGGAAAGCACAAGAGAAGAAACAAAGCTCGTTATTAACGGAAACAGTGAAAGCGATCGTTTGACGTGTATACGCGACTTCCTCGTGCGATATTATTATTTTTACTTGACTCTCGGTGTCTTCATTAGAATCTATGTGACGCCTATAGAGACGTAAATTACAGTAATTAGCGCGCTAACACACACCGATTGTTTATGAAATATTGTTTATAAATAAAGTCACGATTGCGCCTAAAAAAATTATGAAATTCAATTATTCTCTTGGCGAAATGAAACGTCCGTGATTCGCAATCAACGTTTTAATGAACGGACGCGCGCCGCGGCGTAAAGGCAATCTCGAGTTACAAGTATCTGCCTCGGTGCGATTTGTCACTCTTGAAGAATTTCAAATTTGAATTCTTCAAACGTCAATGAAAATTATTCTTTACACCTTGATCTTTGCGGTTTGCACATCGATGTATTGTTTTTTTTTTCTTTTTATAGCATACATATGTACGCGATGTAATATTAAAATTTACATATTCTTTTCTCTCTTTTGCAGAGGTAAATATGCGACGGTGAGAAGATGCCGCGAAAGGTCCAGCGGCAGGCAGTGGGCCGCCAAGTTCCTGAGGAAACGACGGCGGGCCCAGGAGCTCAGAGCGGAAGCGCTTCACGAGGTCGCTGTGCTGGATGCCGCGGCCCATTGTTCTCGTCTCGTCTCCCTACATCAGGTCTTTGAGACCAACACCGAGATGGTGCTCGTCCTCGAACTGTAAGTACAAGGACGTTCCACGTCTCCGCCTACATTTCCGATCGCATCGTCGTAAATCATAGTCTTTGGATCTCGAATTAAAAAAAAAAAAACTTGCTTTTATCCTTCCACGCGATAAAACGCAAGAAAGATAGTTACGTTTCGATTACATATTGCATCGTGCGACGAAGAAGGAAAATAAAACTGAATGACGAGGCGGCTACTGACTATGATGGCGTAGCGTGTAACTTTCTACATTTCGTAATCTCTGCTAATTATTTAAAAAGTAGGACGGAGCATAAACCCGTGATTTAAGCGTTCGTACATCGCGTGCACGAGTCAATCGTAAGATTGCGAATCGCATCGATTCGTTCTGACACGTGTAATACGCTGAATTTATTTATATAATAAATTTTTATATTTTATAAATTAAGCCCTCGCGGTGCGTCTCGCGAGAGAATACATATGCGACAAATGTAAATATTGTGCAAGTCGAGCGAGATACAGATATACGTTTATTGCGACAGGGCTCCTGGCGGCGAGTTACAAATGATACTCGACCGAGACGAAGTTCCGGAGGAGCGGCAGGTCGCCAGATTGCTGAAGCAGATTTTGGATGGGATAGCCTTTCTGCATTCCCTGAACGTAGCTCATCTCGACATCAAGGTAAGTTTTCAAACATTCAAGTATTTATATGGTAAAGGCAGGCTAACGAGACGACCAAGAAATTGTGAAAAAAGTACGACTACTCAAAACTCTACTATATTATATATATAGTGTGTCAAAGGATATAAAGTATTATCCAACATCTCTTGACGATTCCTTTTCAAAAATACTCAAAAATTATCTAGTTATAATATTAATATAAATGTTTATAATGTTTAATTGTATTATATACAATAATAACTTTCTCATTTGATTTAAACATGAACTTAAAAATTATCGCGAATGATTATTTTGGCGGGAATTTTTTTTCATAATTCAATGCCCATAATAATGTCACGGTTTTATCGGCGGTACTAAATTTCCCGCATTAGCGCCCATTTTTACGATTGAGATATTGGAGAATGATCGTTGAAAACGCCAGCGAGATTCTGCACGAGATTCGCTTCTTCGGTATATCTTCACATGTTAAAAATAACAAGCGAGGAGAGATAACGGATGGAGATTGTCGTTCGTGTAAATAATTCTTATCTTGTCTCTTTCCTGCGCCTCTTGGGAAGAACGCATAAAGAGAGAACTTACTCGAGGCGTCTTTTAGCAATATGTTCAATGTACGAATTAAATCACAATTAAAATGCGAAGGAATTAGCGATTCGGCGCGATAAAGATAATTTTTACGAGGAGCATAGCGTCGAAAAAAAAAGAAAGTCCAAATTTCATCGGTGAAAATATCGAGGGGGGAAAAAAAAAAAAAAAGAATCCGTCGCTTTCTCGCCAAAAAGCGTCCGTGAATCTCGGCCGAAGACTCGGCGGGCCGGTTGCATCTTTATCACGCCAAATCTGCGGCGGACGCTGCACTTTCGGCTCGGCGCGAGAAAGAGATTCTCTGGCAAGGGAGCGACGACATTTCGGGCGCCTCTGGCAATTTCTCAGCTACGGGGCTACGCGCGCGTTTCGTGTCGCGGCCCGCACGATCGACCTAAATCGTTATGTAAACGTTTACGTTTGTGGCGCGCGGCGGCACTCTCTGCCAAACGACTGATTAGCGTAAGATTCTTATGTGCCGACAGCGATATACACTTTGCGGCGAGGTGACACGTTTTGCAGATAGATAAATTTTTCGGTCATCTCTCTTGTGCGAACATAATTACGATTCCGTATATCATTGCATATCGCAGTAACACATACACTTTACCAAGGAAAATTGAGAAACGAGACAAAATTACTCACATGGCGCTAGATATATTTTATTTATTCATTTGCTCGTATGTAATTGATTATACAAAGTAAGAAATTATATACGTTTCTTGTATTTGGCGCGATTGAAATTATATACACATAAACGTAGGAAAAAAAATAATTATTTCTCAATTGTTAAGCTTAATTCTAGAAGATAGGAACTATATGTATACATTTTTTTCATGCGCGCATTTTTACGCATAGATACCCCGGAAAAAGAAAGAGAGAGAGAGAGAGAGATAGAACGTTTGAAATTTGTCTTACGCTACCGTCTATACGCCGTTATGTCACCTGACACTTCGCGGTGGAAGAAATGAAAATAGATCGAGCACGTATCGAGGGCTGCACACACTTCTCGATGATTCATCTAATCCCACGCGCTTCTCTCCCCATGTTTCTAAATTCCATTTAAAACGTCATCGCGAGCGTTGTGTCACGCGTACGATATTTTTTGGGGGATGGGAGGGGGCGGGTGGTAAATCGACGACGCGACTATCCCATTAAAAAATTGATGATACACGCGCGAACACGTGCACGGTCTACGAAACGATGTAGCGCCTCGAAACAACGCGTGACGATAGAATGCCGACGAAATTAAGCAGGCGCCAATGGGACAATTTCCGTCCCACGAAATATTTTCGTACGCGGCGACGTACGAGAGGACGTCTGTACGGAAATAGTCCCTCGTATTTCGTCGTTACTTGCCTCGAGGACAATATGACGTTTCGCGTTATAAGCAAATCCAGAGATATCCTGCACAATTTTCTAGAGGACTAAAAATAATTCCTCGCGTTGCGAGGGAACTCCGTTCACAAACAGAGCGACGTTTCATAAAAGTCACGTAATTGAGCTAATATATCCTCACCCGTTCTTAGGCGGGGTAGATTAGGGCCCAAGAATAACTGGTTCGACGCGACGGAGTCGCCGAACATAAAAAATGCAATTGAGTCGAGACGCCGTTTAAATATTAAACGTAATCTCTTCGGTGCCAAAAATAACTTGTTTATCACAGCTCAAACTCTCATTGTAGCAATGATCGGAAATAAATTTCTCTTTAACTTTTGCACGCCGCGTATACGTCATCCCATTGTATCGAACACGTCGCGTATCGGCCCGTCGTACAAAAAAAAAAAAAAAAAAAAAAAAAAAAAAGAAAGAAATGACAAGCGCGACGAATAATTTCGTCTCGATCGGCAAAGTAGCCGAAGGGGACGATGAGTTTCGTACTCGCGCGTCGCGTCATAATACACGACACGTCGCGCCAAGTGACAACCAGTTTTTCCTATTTGGCGGCGAAGATTTGCAATTTGCAATTTGCACACTGCACTCGCGCGTAGGTATACGACGAGATACGTGTTTATCGATTATCGGCGTGATCGATATGGGTGAGCCAAGGTAAGCGAGTTGTATTAATAATGTTCCGGCGGCGATGTACACGTACACAAGCCAGGCTCTCGCGCGCGTTTCCACCTCTCGATCTTGTACATGTCTCCTTTTAACGTGGCTCGCATAACGATGATGGCGGTTATACAATCCAATTTACTCGGCTTTCGCAAGTTTACGTTAATCGCTCAATTCATCATCGACCAGTAAATATCTGTCGATTTTATCGTTGCTCTGTTTGCGCTCGTTATAAAATTTGTCAGATCGTAACTATGCGGTGTCTTTAACTATCACGTTGTTAGATTTTTTGTGTTTACAACAATCATTGCGAATAAAACGGTTGTAATCTCACTTTTTCGAACGACCTTCGTGAAATCTTATCGATCCTGTCCCATCGCGATAAAGAGCGACTCGATTACGCATCTGAACGAGGATGATTTATCCTGATATCACGGTGTTTTCGAACCGATAAGTAAGGTAATTTTGTGCGCGAATGATAGGAGCGTTATTGTGCTACAACGATACAATTTTAGCTAAAGACTCTCGCCATTATGAAAGCAACTATATGCGGGTTTTATCACGAGACGGAAATTTGTCGTGTACGAAGCGATATTTTCGGATCGTTAGTTCCACAAGACGGCAGCTTTATTAGCTCGAACGGATAGGAATATCGCGGCTTTCTCGAGACGTCAGTCTCGGCCAGCAGTGAATCATCCATTGCTCGGATACCCTCCACGGCGTTTTCGATTCATTGACCCGCGAGAGAGCGAACGCGGCGGCGCGTTTATTTTTCGCGCGGCCATTGAGGGAACGAGAAAAATAAGCCTTCAACGGCTTCGATATACTTTGGAAGTCGGCCAGATGCATCAGTCGGCTTTGCATTTTGCGAAGAAAATACACGTCGCGGCGAATCGCACTCTTTTGTTCGACATATCGACGCGCCTCAAAGCCCAGACATGCGGCGGAATTCTTTTAAACGCGCGTTTCACCGCGATTGCTATCTACATACTAAATATACAAAGAGATAGATCGCAGACTTTTATGCGGTTGAAGAGACTTCGACGCGATATTTATTCTTGTTTATTCTCGATTTTGCGCAGTCGTTCTTTTTCCTTTTTTCTTTCTTTGTAAAAGTTGAAATGTTATCTCGCGGATTCTTTGCTCGAACGATAATATTTTTCTACCCGCATTCTCTTTTTATTATTTATCAATAATATTTCAAGCGTCTTTCGCGACAATTCTGCTGTAAAACGATCGTTATTTCGCGCGAATGTCGCTTGGTGCTGTCTGGCAAGAACAAGTTTCCGAAAGCGATTGATTCTCTGCATTTAGGGAAGAGATAAAATAGCCATCTTATCGTTACATATAGCGCGAAATGTAAGACGCGGTGACCAGCATCGACCGAGAAAGGCAATTGGCCGGCGAATAGGTTAATCAGTTCGCATTAGGGTTCATCCTAAAAATAACGCCGCGCCACGAATTCACGCGATATGTCGCGGCCAAATATAGATTTCGCGGTTATGAATGGAAAAATGCACGCGAATTCCTTGGCCGGCGTCCAAGGGGGCCTTCTTGGCCAGCGGCCACGAACTTTCGGGCGCCTTCTAAAGCCGGCCTCACACCGTACTAGTTCACGCTCGAAACGGAACAGCTATATCCGTCGCCGCAGCGCGCCGGAAAACTCGCCGCGCGATGAAATAGCTCGGCGTCCGCCGGCCGTGCAAATTCGAGAATTTGCACGTCGTGTTAATTGCGGTGTCTCCATGTGTTTCCGAGCTTTCCCGAAACGACCGAGCGATCCTGATGCTCCGTTTTGCATTCCGTCGCGATGAATCGCCTCGCCAAATGTTACTCATGCGCATCCATCACGCGGGGAACGTTGGCAAATATTAATTAGGTGGAACAGACGTAGAATCGCGACAAATGAAATTAAGTAATTTAGAATTTCTCTTTTCCATTCCGTTTAATTGATTTTATTTTCGTGATGTAAGAGAGTATACATATATATATATATGTCTTTAAGCTCTTCTATTCACTCTTTTGAAGATTTCCCCTGCTTTTCAAGAAAATTGCGCGCGTATGCATTAATGAAAAAAAAAAAAATCATCGTTCCCGTTATCCGGCTGTGCGATCCGTGGTTCTGCGGCTTATCCTTTGCGGCCGTTTCTAGCCGCGGAATGCTCAGCGTTGATTCAAGAATAGACAAGAGCTGGTCAGTCCGCGCTGGTCAGGGCACGCTCTATCGAGTGGAGAGAGAGCTTGCAAATATGAAAAATGTGGCCCGTGCATTCGTCCGTGAAATTTGTATAGAAGCGATCATAAAATTCCGATAAAAGTTGAGTGCCGTATAGTGGAATGTTGCTTATTCCGTCAGAACTGGA